GGGGGGGGGGCGGCGGGGCGCGGGACCCGGGGTCAGGGTCGGTTGGGGCTCCAGGGTTGGGAGTGAGAGGGGCGCACTGTGGCCTGGGGCGCGCACGGGTAGTGCTGCGCACGATGGGGCTGGCGGGAGGGCTGGGCGGTGGAGCGAGAGCAGGTGCTGCAGGGCTGCGCGCTGACGGCCCCATCCAACCCTGCAGCGCCAGCGCTCAGCCAATTTGGGGTGGTGGGCCAACGGCCCTGCTGCACCCGCCCCCCCGCGGTCCTCACAGGAACGTGTAGTCGTAGCCAAAGTCAAACCGGCCCGAGGGGTCCTCGTACGCAAAGAAGTCGCCTGTTGTTGATTTTTGGGGGCAGGGGTGACCTGACTTGTGTTCAGGGACACATGCCCCCAGGCACTTGCCGCAACGCCAACACCAGCACCATCCCTGGCTCAGGGCATCCCGCAATACTTCCACGGAGCGGAGTAGTCTCCCGCCAAGCAGTAAGGGCTCAACACGCAGCTGCGCGCCCCTTCTCTCTGCACCACGGGCCGCAGCCGACCCACCGGCCACGAAGCGGACCCTCTGGGCCACCTCTCTCGGCGCCGCCTTGTCGCGGTGGCTCTCAGCGTCCGCCACCGCCGCCGGGGATAGGTCCAGGCCCACGGCCGTGGCGCCGGCCTCTGCGGCCGTCAGGGCGTCGTAGCCGCGGCCGCAGCCGGGGACCAGCCAGGACTGGACCGGGAGTGCAGGTGGTGGGCGAGAACGAGGGGATCATATAGGGGGGTGGTGACGTGGTGCCATTTTGGCAGCACGCAACAGGGTTTGTTGACAACCCAGCACGAGCAGCATTCCAGGGCTCCTATTGCCCTGGCTGCATCACGTCTGCTGGGGTTCAAGAATGGTGGGGGTGTGGCGCACCCGCCCCTCCATGGGTCCCAGGGCCCCAGATGCCAGGAGGCGGCCCAGCATGGGCGCAGACGACCCGATGTCAAAGTGCATGCCTTGTGGGGGCCAGAGGGGTGGGAGGATCAGGAGCGCCACTGCTGTCGGCGGTACGGTGCTAGAAATGCGGCGACGGGGACAAGGCGAGTGCTGGCGGCGGGGCGAGGCGCTCGAGCCGCTCTGGGAGGATGCTGCAGACGAGCAGCCCCGCAATCAGCAGAGCGCTTGGGGCGGCAAGCTCTCACCCGGCTGCAGGCCCGCACCCCACAGCTGCGGGAGGGGACAGCGCACGAGAAGAGGTGGATGGTGGGGTGCTGCAGGGCAGCGGCTTTAGCGCGGCGCGCAGCTGGCCCTGGCCACGTGGATGCTTGTCTGGGTGGCTGCCCCTGGGGGCGGGGCCCTCTATATCGCACGCCTGGCCCGCTACGCCCGGCCTCTGCTGCAGATCAGCATGTCGCCCTGTTAATCTGCTGCGACCGGTTTGGATGCCCGCTGCCGCAGGTAGCGGCTGCGGGTCCTGTTGCGTCCATGCGCATGAAAGCATAAGAGCACGAAACCACTGCAAGCCTGCAGGCGAGCCCCTGGACCCGGGCGCACCTCGTGCCACAGCTTGTTGTACTGCTCCGCGTCAACCGTGTCACCGGCCGCTGCGCGCGGGGGCGCAGGGCCCCTGGCCGCATCGGCATCCCCAGAGGTCGGCATCGCAGCGGGGCGGCGGCGGCGGCGCGCCGCTGTGGCGGGGTGATGAAGCAGTGAGGCAGGCCGATGACACCCCAGGTGGCAGGGGCGAGCTCCTGGCGGCGGCCGTTGGCGGCAGGGATGCGCGCTGGGGACAAAAGCCGTCAATTGCATGCGCGCCAGGCGGCAGGCTGCCAGGAGAGGTGGCACCCTGTGTCGAGGGAGTCAAGAAGGACGTGACGCAGCCTGCACAAGTGCACACGGTGGCCCAGAGTGCGCTAGTCTTGTGCTATGCACGGTGTGCCGTTGGTGACCGGAGAAATTTCAAAATCATAGTTGTGGTTTCACCGTATCGACCGGCTTTGAATCCGCGCCCTGGAAGTGTCCGCCTCTCCAGTGCGAGGTCAGCTGCTGCACAGGCCACATGTGGGCCGAAGGACGACTACTGCGTCGAGCACCGGCGCGAACGATTAAAAGGTGATCCTTCTTATTCAAGCTCTACACATCTGACGCCCATTGCTTTGCAAAAGCTAGATCGATTCCCAGAGGCTCCAATTGCATTGAGAGGCACCATGCTGCTCAATGGCAGCCTGGGGTTGCGCAGCAGCCCGGGCCCCTTTGTCTCAGTGCAGCGCGCACATCGCGTGCGGCCTGTGGCGAGGGCCGAGGGCGGGGGCGACAGCGGCGCCAAGGGCGGCACCGCGCTCTCAGAGGACATGATTGCGCGGCTCCGCGCCGCCGAGGAGGAGGCCGCACGGCTCAAGAAGCAGCTATCGGATCTGCAGCAGGCGCAGCAGGTGCGGTGTGCTCTCTTTGCTTCCATATTCTGCCTGTTATGCATGCAAGGCAGAGGCGGTGGTGACGTAAGGCTGCGGGCCCCGCCCACCCCTGCCGCGCCGCGCCTCCCCCGACCACGCTCTCATCGTTGGCCTGCAGGCGGGCGGCGCCCCGGCCCAGCCGCGCGACCCGGTGCTTGACGGCGCCCCCAAGCGCATCGACGGCACCGACAAGCGCGAGACGCTGTTCAGCGGCCCTTCCAAGCGCAACTCCTGGCTCAGCGAAGGTGGGGCGGCATTGAGAGGCGCCGCGACGGCACAGACGCCTTGACCGACAACGAATGAAACATGTGCGGTAATCGGCGCTGCACTCAGTCGGCAGCAGGCAACAGGGGGCTGCTAGCAGCGCACGCTCGCCAAGCCTGTCCGTCAACCCCCCGACAACCCCCCGGCCTGCGCCCCCCAGAGGACGTGGACTGGATCACGGGGGGCGGCCCCAGCGAGGCGTCCGCCAGCAGTGGCCCCACAGAGGAGCAGCAGAGCCTCATCGGCCGCCGCCTCGCCATCGGGGCCGTCGCCACCGCGGGGCTGGTGGCGTTCTCCCTGGTGCCGACCAAGGACCTGCGGCTGAAGCCCGCCAAGCCGCTGTACTTCTACCTCACGGCGCTGCTGAGGGTGCAGGTGGGAGCGGGATGGGGGTGGGTCGGTGGACGGGTGGGGAGGGGGGTGCGCAGGCGGTGGTGGCTGCGCCGTGGCGGTGATGGCGGACGAGCGCGGCAGGTGTGCGACGTGTGCAGAGCTTTGCAGCAGACTCGACCCGCAGGGGGTGTTGCAGCCGCCAACGCAGGTGAGCGACATATGGGGCAGCTGACTGCTGCGCTGTGTGTTGCTGTCGTGAGCATTGCCCTGGCCTGCACCCCCTCCCCCAACCCTGCCCCCCTGTGCCGCGCCGCGCCCCCCCACAGGAGCAGCTGGTGCAGTGCAAGGACCTGGTGGAGGACGCCGACTGGACGACACTGCGCCTCATCCTGCCGCGCATCACGGGGCCACCGGGTGACGCCAAGGCCAGCCTCTTTGACGCCATCGCCCTGCTCAACGACAGGTGCGCTGCGCACACAAAGGCGCGGCTCTTCACTCGCATGTGTATGGCTGGGGTCGGTGTTCATCACAGCTCGGGCCGCCACTGCAGTTGCTGGGCGGCAGGAGCCAGCTGGGGGAGGCAGCGTGCAGCAAGGGAGGGCGCTTGCAATATATGGGCGCATGGGCCCGGCAACGTCTTGGCACGGCGGTTTTCAGGCCCTGGGTTGGCTTGCGCAGCGGTCCCGTGGGGCCCAGCGGCGGCTGCCGCCCGCATACTGTTGCAGGCTGGTGCAAAGGGCGCTGCCTGCACCCCAACCATTGCGCGCTCGTTGCCGCCGACTCTCTTGATCCCCCCAGGGCCGTGGCTGCCAAGGCTGAGGAGGTGGCGGGCGACTTTTTGGAGTCTGTCGCCAACATTGACAGCCCGCGGCGCTACTACGACGCGATGCCGTCACGCCAGGTGCGTGCAGGGTAGGGCACAGCACAGGCGAGGCGACGCACACTCGCACGCACACGGCACGTGTGCGGACACTGTGAGCTTGTGGGCGGCGGCATGCAGAGCAGAGCGGCCCCTGCGCCTGGGAGCGGCTTGCGGGCTTCCAATGACGGCGTCATGCAGCGGCCCTGTGTTCAGGGCAGCATTGAGCTGCGCCCACACACAACCGCCGTCCTGTGCCTGCCTGCATTTGCGCAGATCTCCGGGTCCCAGAACGCCGAGTTTGTGCGGTTCAGCAGCGGCGCCCTGGTGCGGGCGCAGTCTAAGCTGACAGAGTTCCTGGCGCTGATGCCGCGCGACGCTGTGGCGGCGGCCAAGCAGGCGGTGGCCGCAGAGCTGGCCGGCGCAGGGGTGGAGTGACCGGGGAGGGGGTGGAAGGAGTGCTCTGCTCGACTGTCCTGCCATGTCGTGGTGCTTCGGGGTCAACTCCCTTCAGTACGTCCTGATCACAGGCACAGGGACTGTAAAGTGACGTCACCGCTGCCTGCCCTGGAGCCGGCTTCTGTCAAACTGACAAGAGTGCAGCCAGCTTGAACCCATGGGCAGCTGTTGCGCGAACTTCAATGCACCCAACTTTTAGGGCAGCCGCGTGCGTTGTCACCAAACTCCAGGGCTGCCACTCAGCGCGGCCAGCTGCCACACCGGCATGGCGGAGTGTTGATGATTTTGTTACAGCGAGGCGCGAGCCCTGAAAAGTTGCGGCATGATCTGCGGGAGGTCCCCCATGATCATCAAAACTGGGGCCGATTCGCGCGTCGACGCCACAGCTTGCAGGCACTGCGCGCCCCGTCCCGAGCCAATTGCTCCGGACCGTTCCACTCCCGGAAAGCCATCACTGCAGCGCCACACAGCGCTCCCTGCACTCCTCTCACAAAAGAGCCCTGACCAAGACGGGCCAAAGCACAGCTCGCGCCGCAACCCGCCTCAGCCCCTCTGCAGCACGGCCGCGGCGCGCACCGCGGTGGCAGCGTGGCGCGCGGCCGCGTTGCAGGGGGCTTGGCGGGACAAAAAGTGACCGTGCTGGCGGCCCGTCTGCGGTCTGCCGTCCGCCGCGACGCCCGCCCTGGCGGGCGCCGCGTCATAGCCGCGCCGCCTAGTGGGCCTTGTAGGCCTCGGGCATGGAGGAGCCCGCGGAGCCCGCCAGCTCGGCGCCGCTCATGTAGGCCTCGGCCAGCTGCACGCGCTTCACGTTGTCCTGCTCCTCCACCAGGTAGCGGCCGTACTTCATGAGCACGTCCAGGGCCATGCGCGGCTTCTCAAACTCGACCTTGCCCTCGCGGCTGTTGACCAGGCGCTTGGAGAGGTTCTCCACGCCGAGGTTGGACACGAACTCGCGGACCTTGTCGTCGTACACGCGCGCGCGCAGGGCGCCGAAGAAGTCGATCGACTGGCCGGGGAAGGCGTCGACCAGCTTCTCCACCTCTGCGCGCGTCACGTTGTCCTCGTGGAAGATGCCCATGCACACGCCCACGCGGTCCTCGCGGGTCGGGTTCCAGTAGTACTTCTGCGGGGGTGTGGAGGGGGGGAGCGGGGGACGGGGGTGCGGGCGTGTGTGTGAGTGTGGTTGTGCGTGCAGTTGGCACACGTACCCGCTCCTGCATATGCGCATGTGCTGCTGGGTGTGTCGAGGCCGCTGTCTCAGTGCCTGAACCAACAAAGCGCCCCACAACCCCGGTGCCAGGGTGGGGCATGCTGCACAGCCACAACGGCAGCGCTGACTCAACAATGACGTCCAGGGAAGGCCATGCCGACCCACGCTGCAGCCATGGCGGCCGGCCTTAGCCCCGGATGCAAACGCTGGCAGGCTGCGCACCTCCATACGACCATCACGGATGAGGGGCGCGTAGAGGGTGCTGAAGTCGTTACCTGGGGTTGGGAGGGGGGCGGGAGTGTGAAGGGTTTGCAATGACCATCTGCGGGAAGGAGCTGCGTGGCATTCTGCCAGGCAGGGGGTCAGCGCTGCCTGCGGCCACTCACTGGGCCAGCCATTGCGCCTGGCCCAGGCATCCTCCAGGCGCCAACGCCGGCCTCGGCATGACAGCTCTGCCAACCGCTGGTTGTGCCGCCGCCACCAGTGCCTCAGCAGCCGCTGCCCAGCCTTGGCAGACGCGACACGACATGCAAGCCTCCGCTTAGCCTGGGTGCCAGCAACAGCGTGCCTCCCATCCATTGCGTCCCGCCTCCCTGGCCCCACACC